ACAGGGGGGTCTGGGCGGGTGCCGGACAGGGTGCCGCAGAAGTTGTTTTAAGCCAACAGTCACACACTTCGTGCTCTTCGACCTCCCAGAACTCCATTCCCGGGCCACATTCTGAATGCCCGGAGCCAACTGTAGGCCACTTCGTGCTCTTCGATTTCCCAGAACTCCATTCCCGGGCCACATTTTGAATGCCCGGAGCCAACTGTAGGCCACTTCGTGCTCTTCGAGTTCCCAGAACTCCATTCCCGGGCCACATTTTGAATGCCCGGAGCCAACTGTAGGCCACTTCGTGCTCTTCGAGTTCCCAGAACTCCATTCCCGGGCCACATTTTGAATGCCCGGAGCCAACTGTAGGCCACTTCGTGCTCTTCGAGTTCCCAGAACTCCATTCCCGGGCCACATTTTGAATGCCCGTAGCCAACTGAGGCTGAGGCAGGCTGCTGCTGAGGCAGGCTGAGGCTGAGGCTGAGGCAGGCTGAGGCTGAGGCAGGCTGAGGCTGAGGCTGAGGTTGAGGCTGAGGCTGAGGCTGAGGCAGGCTGAGGCAGACGCTGAGGCAGGCTGATGCTGAGGCAGGCTGAGGCTGAGGCTGAGGCTGATGCAGGCTGAGGCTGAGGCTGAGGAAAAGGTTGAGGCTGAGGCTAAGGTTGAAGCTGAAGCTGAAGCAGGCTGAGGCTGAGGCTGAGGCAGGCTGAGGCTGAGGCTTAAGCAAGCTGATGCTGAGGCTGAGGCTGAGGCTGAGGCTGATGCAGGCTGAGGCTGAGGCAGGCTGAGGCTGAGGCCGAGGCTGAAGGCAGACTGAGGCTGAGGCTGAAGCAGACTGAGGCTGAGGCTGAGGCAGGCTGAGGCTGAGGCTGAAGCAGGCTGATGCTGAGGCAGGCTGAGGCTGAGGCTGAGGCTGATGCAGGCTTAGGCTGAGGCAGGCTGAGGCTGAGGCCGAGGCTGAAGGCAGACTGAGGCTGAGGCTGAAGCAGGCTGAGGCTGAGGCTGAGGCAGGCTGAGGCTGAGGCGGAGGCAGGCTGATGCTGAGGCAGGCTGAGGCTGAGGCTGAGGCTGATGCAGGCTGAGGCTGAGGCAGGCTGAGGCTGAGGCAGGCTGAGGCTGAGGCCGAGGCCGACGGCAGACTGGGGCTGAGGCTGAAGCAGGCTGAGCCTGAGGCAGAGGCAGGCTGAGGCTGAGGCTGAGGCAGCTGATGCTGAGGCAGGCTGAGGCTGAGGCTGAGGCTGATGCAGGGTGAGGCCGAGGCAGGCTGAGGCTGAGGCCGAGGCTGAAGGCAGACTGATGCTGAGGCTGAAGCAGGCTGAGGCTGAGGCTGAGGCAGGCTGAGGCTGAGGCTGAGGCTTGAAGGCAGGCTGTAGTTGAGGCTGAGGCTGAAGCAGGGCGAGGCTGAGGCTGAGGCAGGCTGAGGCTGATGCTGAGGCAGGCTGATACTGAGGCAGGCTGAGGCTGAGGCTGTGACTGTGACTGCCGTTGCCACTGCGACTGTCATCGCGAATGCGACTGCGACTGCGAGAGCAGGAAAATTCTACAACTGGATTCTCATCTGGATCTTAAGGGGAATGTTCCATATATGCTCTACACATCGCTGTTAGTTGCTTGCGGGATAATGTTTGTGTTTACCTAACAGTTGTTCTGATAGAGTTCTATTCGGGTCAAAAGAGAGCAGCAGATGACTCCACAGGGGGGTCTGGGCGGGTGCCGGACAGGGTGCCGCAGAAGTCGTTTTAAGCAAACAGTCGCACACTTCGTGCTCTTCGACCTCCCAGAATTCCATTCCCGGGCAACATTCTGAATGCCCGGAGCCAACTGTAGGCCACTTCGTGCTCTTCGACTTCCCAGAACTCCATCTCCGGGCCACATTTTGCCCACCAGGAGCCCACCGTAGGCCCACTTCGTGGTCTTCGAGTCCCAGAACCTCATTCCCCCGGGCCACATTTTGAATGCCCGGAGCCCACTGTAGGCCACTTCGTGCTCTTCGAGTTTCCAGAACTTTATTCCCGGGCCAGATTTTGAATGCCCGGAGCCAACTGTAGGCCACTTCGTGGTCTTCGAGTTCCCAAGACTCCATTCCCGGGCCAGATTTTGGATGCCCGGAGCCAACTGTAGGCCACTTCGTGGTCTTCGAGTTCCCAGAACTCCATTCTTGAGCATGATTTTGAATGCCCGGAGCCAACTGTAGGCCACTTCGTGTTCTTCGAGTTCCCAGAACTCCATTCCCGGGCCACATTCTGAATGCTGAGGCAGGCTGATGCTGAGGCTGAGGCAGGCTGAGGCTGAGGCAGGCTGAGGCTGAGGCCGAGGCTGAAGGCAGACTGAGGCTGAGGCTGAAGCAGGCTGAGGCTGAGGCTGAGGCAGGCTGAGGCTGAGGCAGGCTGAGGCTGAGGCAGGCTGAGGCTGAGGCTGAGGCAGGCTGAGGCTGAGGCTGTGTCTGTGACTGCCGTTGCCACTGCGACTGTCATCGCGAATGCGACTACGACTGCGAGAACAGCACAATTCTACAACTGGATTCTCATCTGAATCTTAAGGGGGATGCTTCCAGATATGCTCCTACACATCGCTGTTAGGTTGCTTTGCCGGGATAATCGTTTGTCCGTCGGCTGCACTGGTCGCCCCAGGCTCGCCCGCCGCCTTTCGGTCGCTCGCCCCTTCGGCTGGCCCCAGTCCTGGGTGTTGTTTGTTTTTTTGTTTGTTTTCGCTTGTCCGTCGGCTGCAATTGTCGCCCCGGGCTCGCCCGCCGCCCAGTGGTCGCTCTGCCTTTCGGCTGGCCCCATTCCTTTGTTTTGTTTGTGTTTGTTTGTTTTCGCTTGTCCGTCGGCTGCACTGGTCGCCACAGGCTCGCCCGCCGCCTTTCGGTCGCTTGGCCCCTCGGCTGGCCCAATTCTTTGGTTTTGTTTGTTACCTAACAGCTTGTTCTGATAGGTTTCTAGTAGGGTCAAAAGAGAGCAGCAGATGACTCCACAGGGAGGTCTGGGCGGGTGCCGGACAGGGTGCCGCAGAATTTGTTTTAAGCCAACAGTCACACACTTCGTGCTCTTCGACCTCCCAGAACTCCATTCCCGGGCCACATTCTGAATGCCCGGAGCCAACTGTAGGCCACTTCGTGCTCTTCGACTTCCCAGAACTCCATTCCCGGGCCACAATTTGAATGCCCGGAGCCAACTGTAGGCCACTTCGTGCTCTTCGAGTGCCCAGAACTCCATTCCCGGGCCACATTTTGAATGCCCGGAGCCAACTGTAGGCCACTTCGTGCTCTTCGAGTTCCCAGAACTCCATTCCCGGGCCACATTTTGAATGCCCGGAGCCAACTGTAGGCCACTTCGTGCTCTTCGAGTTCCCAGAACTCCATTCCCGGGCCACCTTTTGGATGCCCGGAGCCAACTGTAGGCCACTTCGTGGTCTTCGAGTTCCCAGAACTCCATTCCTGGGCATGATTTTGAATGCCCGGAGCCAACTGTAGGCCACTTCGTGTTCTTCGAGTTCCCAGAATTCCATTCCCAGGCCACATTTTGAATGCTGAGGCAGGTTGAGGCTGAGGCTGAGGCAGGCTGATGCTGAGGCAGGCTGAGGCTGAGGCCGAGGCCGATGCAGGCTGAGGCTGAGGCAGTCTGAGGCTGACGCCGAGGCTGAAGGCAGACTGAGGCTGAGGCTGAAGCAGGCTGAGGCTGAGGCTGAGGCAGGCTGAGGCTGAGGCTGAGGCAGGCTGAGGCTGAGGCTGTGTCTGTGACTGCCGTTGCCACTGCGACTGTCGTCGCGAATGCGACTACGACTGCGAGAACAGCACAATTCTACAACTGGATTCTCATCTGAATCTTAAGGGGGATGCTTCCAGATATGCCCCTACACATCGCTGTTAGGTTGCTTTGCCGGGATAATTGTTGTTTGTTTTGGTTTGTCCGTCGGCTGCACTGGTCGCCTCAGGCTCGCCCGCCGCCCTGCGGTCGCTCGGCCTCTCGGCTGGTCGATTTCTTTGTGTTTGTTCGTTTCGTTTGTTTTCGCTTGTCCGTCGGCTGCACTGGTCGCCCCAGGCTCGCCCGACGCCCCGCGGTCGCTCGGCCCCTCGGCTGGCACCATTCCTTGGTTTTGTTTGTTTTTGTTTGTTTTCGCTTGTCCGTCGGCTGCACCAGTCGCCCCAGGCCGCCCCGCGGTCGCTCGGCCCTTCGGCTGGCCCAATTATTTGGTTTTGTTTGTTTTCGTTTTTTTTCGCTTGTCCGTCGCCTGGACAGGTCGCCCCAGGCCCGCCCGCCGCCCCGCGGTCGCTCGGCTCCTCGGCTTGCCAAATTGTTTGGTTTTGTTTGTTTTTGTTGTTTTCGGTTGTCCGTCGTCTGCACTGGTCGCCCCAGGCTCGCCCGCCGCCCCGCGGCAGCTCGGCCCTTCGGCGGGCCCCATCCATGGTTTTGTTTGTTTTTGTTTGTTTTCGTTTGTCTTTCGGCTGCACTAGGTCGCCCAGGCTCGCCCGCCGCCCCGCGGTCGCTCGGGACAGCCGAGGGGCCGAGCGACCGAACGGCGGCGGGCGGGCCTGGGGCGACCAGTGCAGCCGACGGACAAGCGAAAACAAGCAAAAACACACAAAACCAATGCATTTGGCCAGCCGAGGGGCCGAGCGACCGCGGGGCGGCGGGCGAGCCTGGGGCGACCAGTGCAGCCGACGGACAAGCGAAAACACACAGAAACAAAGAAAGCCAGGGAATGGGGCCAGCCGAGCGACCGAAAGGCGGCGGGCGTGCGCAGGGCGACCAGTGCAGCCGACGGACAAGCGAAAACAAACAAAAAGAAACAAAACCAGTGAATTGGGCCAGCCGGGGGGCCGAGCGACCGAACGGCGGTGGGCGGGCTTGGGGCGACCACCGCAGCCGACGGACAAGCGAAAACAAACAAAAACAGACAAAACCAATGCATTTGGCCAGCCGAGGGGCCGAGCGACCGCGGGGCGGCGGGCGAGCCTGAGGCGACCGGTGCAGCCGACGGACAAGCGAAAACAAACAGAAACAAAGAAAGCCGGGGAATGTGGCCAGCCGAGGGGCCGAGCGACCGCGGGTCCGCGGGCGTGCGCAGGGCGACCAGTGCAGCCGACGGACAAGCGAAAACACACAAAAACACACAAAACCAGTGAGTTGGGCCAGCCGGGGGCCGAGCGACCGAAAGGCTGCGGGCGTGCGCAGGGCGACCAGTGCAGCCGACGGACAAGCGAAAACAAACAAAAACAAATAAAACCAGTAACTTGGGCCAGCCGAGGGGCCGAGCGACCGAACGGCGGCGGGCGGGCCTGGGGCGACCAGTGCAGCCGACGGACAAGCGAAAACAAACAAAAACAAGCAGAACCAATGCACTTGGCCAGCCGAGGGGCCGAGAGACTGCGGGGCGGCGGGCGAGCCTGAGGCGACCAGTGCAGCCGACGGACAAGCGAAAACAAACAAAAACAAAGAAAGCCAGGGGATGGGGCCAGCCGAATGGCCGAGCGACCGAAAGGCGGCGGGTGTGCACAGGGCGACCAGTGCAGCCGACGGACAAGCGAAAACAAACAAAAACAGACAAAACCAATGAATTGGGCCAGCCGAGGGGCCGAGCGACCGAACGGCGGCGGGCGGGCTTGGGGCGACCAGCGCAGCCGACGGACAAGCGAAAACAAACAAAATCAAGCAAAACCAATGCACTTGGCCAGCCCAGGGGCCGAGCGACCGCGGGGCGGCGGGCGAGCTTGAGGCGACCAGTGCAGCCGACGGGCAAGCGAAAACAAACAGAAGCAAAGAAATCCAGGGGATGGGGCCAGCCGAGGGGCAGATCGACCGAGAGGCGGCGGGCGTGCGCAGGGCGACCAGTGCAGCCGACGGACAAGCGAAAACAAACAACGACAAACAAAACCAGTGAATTCGGCCAGCCGAGGGGCCGAGCGACCGAACGGCGGCGGGCGGGCCTGGGGCGACCAGCGCAGCGGACAAGCGAAACCAAACAAACACAAACAAAACCAATGCGTTTGGCCAGCCGAGGGGCCGAGCGACCGCGGGGCGGCGGGCGAGCTTGAGGCGACCAGTGCAGCCGACGGACAAGCGACAACAAACACAAACAAACAAAACCAATGAATTGGGCCAGCCGAGGGGCCGAGCGCCCGCGGGGCGGCGGGCGAACCCGGGGCGACCAGTGCAGCCGACGGACAAGCGAAAACAAACAACAACAAACAAAACCAGTAACTTGGGCCAGCCGAGGGGCCGAGCGACCGAACGGCGGCGGGCGGGCCTGGGGCGACCAGCGCAGCCGACGGACAAGCGAAAACAAACAAAAACAAGCAAAACCAATGCATTTGGCCAGCCGAGGGGCCGAGCGACCGCGGGGCGGCGGGCGAGCTTGAGGCGACCAGTGCAGCCGACGGACAGGCGAAAACAATCAGAAACAAAGGAATCCATGGAATGGGGCCAGCCGAGAGGCCGAGCGACCGAACGGCGGCGGGCGTGCGCAGGGCGACCAGCGCAGCCGACGGGCAAGCGAAAACAAACAACAACGAACAAAACCAATGAATTTGGCCAGCCGAGGGGCTGAGCGACCGCGGGGCGGCGGGCGAGCCTGGGGCGAGCAGCGCAGCCGACGGACAAGCGAAAACAAACAAAAACAAACAAAACCAATGCATTTGGCCAGCCGAGGGGCCGAGCGACCGCGGGGCGGCGGGCGGGCCTGTGGCAACCAGTGCAGCCGACGGACAAGCGAAAACAAACAGAAACAAGGAAAGCCAGGGAATGGGGCCAGCCGGGGGGCCGAGCAACCGAAAGGCAGCGGGCGCGCGCGGGGCGGCCAGTGCAGCCGATGGACAAGCGAAAACACACAAAAACAAACGCGAACCCGTGAATTGGGCCAGCCGAGGGGCCGAGCGACCGAACGGCGGCGGGCGGGCCTGGGGCGGCCAGCGCAGCCGACGGACAAGCGAAAACAAACAAAAACAAACAAAACCAATGCATTTGGCCAGCCGAGGGGCCGAGCGACCGCGGGGCGGCGGGCGGGCCTGGCGCGACCAGCGCAGCCGACGGGCAAGCGAAAACAAACAGAAGCAAAGAAATCCATGGAATGGGGCCAGCCGAATGGCCGAGCGACAGACATGCGGCGTGCGTGCGCAGGGCGACCAGTGCAGCCGACGGACAAGCGAAAACAAACAACAACAAACCAAACCAGTGAATTGGGCCAGCCGAGGGGCCGAGCGACCGCGGGGCGGCGGGCGAGCTTGAGGCGACCAGTGCAGCCGACGGACGCGCGACAACAAACAGAAACAAAGAAAGCAACGGAATGGGGCCATCCGAGGGGCCGAGCGACCGAAAGGCGGCGGGCGCGCGCAGGGCGACCAGCGCAGCCGACGGACAAGCGAAAACAAACAAAAACAAACAAAACTAATGAATTGGGCCAGCCGAGGGGCCGAGAGACCGAACGGCGGCGGGCGGGCCTGAGGCGACCAGCGCAGCCGACGGACAAGCGAAAACAAACAACAACAAACAAAACCAATGCGTTTGGCCAGCCGATGGGGCCGAGCGACCGCGGGGCGGCGGGCGAGCTTGAGGCGACCAGTGCAGCCGACGGACAAGCGAAAACAAACAGAAACAAAGAAAGCCAGGGAATGGGGCCAGCCGAAAGGCCGAGCGACCGAAAGGCGGCGGGCGTGCGCAGGGCGACTGGCGCGGCCGACGGACAAGCGAAAATAAACAAAAACACACAAAACCAATGGATTGGGCCAGCCGAGGGGCCGAGCGACCGAACGGCGGCGGACGGACCTGGGGCGAGCAGTGCAGCCGACGGACAAGCGAAAACTGACAAAATCAGACAAAACCAATGCATTTGGCCAGCCGAGGGGCCGAGCGGCCGCGGGGCGGCGGGCGAGCCTGAGGCGACCAGTGCAGCCGACGGACAAGCGAAAACAAACTGACACAAAGAAAGCCGGGGAATGGGGCCAGCCGAAGGGCCGAGCGACCGAAAGGCGGCGGGCGTGCGCGGGGCGACCAGCGCAGCCGACGGACAAGCGAAAACAAACAAACACAAACAAAACCAGTGAATTGGGCCAGCCGAGGGGCCGAGCGACCGAACGGCGGCGGGCGGGCCTGGGGCAGCCAGCGCAGCCGACGGACACGCGAAAACAAACAACAACAAACAAAACCAATGCATTTGGCCAGCCGAGGGGCCGAGCGACCGCGGGGCGGCGGGCGAGCCTGAGGCGACCAGTGCAGCCGACGGACATGCGAAAACAAACAGAAACAAAGAAATCCAGGGCATGTGGCCAGCCGGGGACCGAGCGACCGAAAGGCCGCGGGCGCGCGCAGGGCGACCAGCGCAGCCGACGGACAAGCGAAAACAAACAACAACAAACAAAACCACTGAACTGGGCCAGCCGGGGGGCAGAGCGACCGAACGGCGGCGGGCGGGCCCGGGGCGACCGGCGCAGCCGACGGACAAGCGAAAACAAACAAATACACACAAAACCAATGCATTTGGCCAGCCGAGGGGCCGAGCGACCGCGGGGCGGCGGGCGAGCTTGAGACGGCCAGTGCAGCCGACGGACAAGCGAAAACAAACAGAAACAAAGAAAGCCAGGGGATGGGGCCAGCCGAGGGGCCGAGCGACCGAAAGGCGGCGGGCGTGCGCAGGGCGACCAGTGCAGCCGACGGACAAGCGAAAACAAACAAAAACAAACAAAACCAGCGAATTGGGCCAGCCGAGGGGCCGATCGACCGAACGGCGGCGGGCGGGCCTGGGGCGACCAGCGCAGCCGACGGACAAGCGAAAACAAACAAACACAAACAAAACCGATGCATTTGGCCAGCCGAGGGGCCGAGCGACCGCGGGGCGGTGGGCGAGCTTGAGGCGACCAGTGCAGCCGACGGACAAGCGAAAACAAACATAAACAAAGAAAGCCAGTGAATGGGGCCAGCCGAGGGGCCGAGCGACCGAAAGGCGGCGGGCGGGCCTGGGGCGACCAGCGCAGCCGACGGACAAGCGACGACAAACAACAACAAACAAAACCTATGCATTTGGCCAGCCGAGGGGCCGAGCGACCGCGGGGCGGCGGGCGAGCTTGAGGCGACCAGTGCAGCCGACGGACACGCGAAAACAAACAGAAACAAAGAAAGCCATGGAATGGGGCCAGCCGAGGGGCCGAGCGACCGAAAGGCGGCGGGCGCGCGCAGGGCGACCAGCGCAGCCGACGGACAAGCGAAAATAAACAACAACAAACAAAACCAATGCATTTGGCCAGCCGAGGGGCCGAGCGACCGAACGGCGGCGGGCGGGCCTGGGGCGACCAGTGCAGCCGACGGACAAGCGAAAACAAACAAAAACAAACAAACCCAATGCATTTGGGCAGCCGAGGGGCCGAGCGACCGCGGGGCGGCGGGCGAGCCTGCGGCGGCCAGTGCAGCCGACGGACAAGCGAAACCAAACAGAAACAAAGAAAGCCAGGGGCTGGGGCCAGCCGGGGGGCCGAGCGACCGAACGGCGGCGGGCGGGCCTGGGGCGACCAGCGCAGCCGACGGACAAGCGAAAACAAACAAAACTTATCCCAGTGCGACCCTACCTAGGAGTTGGAGCCCCAAGGAAAGCAGCATTAGTAGTAACAGTGAAGCTAAGCTACAGCTAAGCTACAGCTAAGCTAAAATAATTACGTGCATGCGCACGTGCATGTATACCTTGGTGTTACGTTTGCTTTTGCTTTGCTTTGCTTTGCTTCTGATTTGCTTTGCGTTGTCTTCGACATGTTTGCTTTGTTTTGTATTCGTTGATTTTGCTATGCTATGCTATGCCGCGCTATGCTATGCTATGATATGGTATGATATGCTCTGCTGCGCTATGCTTTGCTATGCTAGGCTATGTATGATATGATATGCTGCGCTATGCTTTGCTATGCAATGCGATGGTATAAGATGCTATGCTATGCTATGATGCGCTGTGTTATGCTAATCGATGCTATGCTAAGCTATGTTAAGCTATGATATGCAAGACTGTGCTATGTTATGATGTGCTATGCCATGCGATGCTATGCTACGCTAAGCTACGCTACATTAGGCTCAGCTAAGCTCAGCTAAGCTAAGC